TTTTCTTTACCCTCTCTTTACTGTCTCCAAAAGGGGTAGCTCAGCCAAAGCATCCTGCTCGTGAAGGGAAGCTAAAGCGCTAGTGGGTGCGTGTGAAGCCTCAGCCTCGCAGGGTCTGTTTCTAGCCGACACAATTAAACACTTGGCAGCGCGGCAGTCGCCTCTGCGTTCTCGGTGCAGGCTACTGCGTGACGAGGGCCTGGGGTTTTGCGTGCGCGTCTGGGAGGGTGGGATAAAGAGCAGCTGCGATGAGGTCAGACTGCAGCGAGAGCAATGCCGGGAATCATCGTGTGCAAACCACGGGCGGTCTCCTGCAGTGCTGCATTTGAGTCACACAGAGAGCTATATACCAGGTATGCAGGTATCAAGGAGTGGAAACTTCAAGACTTCAACAACTGATTGGATTTGTGGGCTAGAAATACATACTAGTGGACACTGGTTTATCATTCCACAGAAGCAGACGTGGCTCACTGCTGTGTGGTGCCATGGGGTATTTCCTTGCAGGAAGTTGCTGATTGCCTATTGTGCTGGGTGAATGCAGGAAACAGAGTTTTTCATGCTTCTGTCACAGCTACAGAAGAGATTGAAGTAAGACAGGATGCAGAACTACTGGGTACCATCCGGAGGACTTGCTGCTTGGGGAACTTTGCAGCCTTTCCTCCCCTTGCCCACCCCCTCCATAGTTTGGTCCTGAAGTCTCTTAATTCGGGTCACAACAGGGATCCAACCCACCATACCTCACTTTTTCCTCTACCTTTTCTAGGGCTGACCACAGCTTTTTTCCCCATCAGCAGATTCTCTCGGACCCTCCTCATCATCGCAAACCTAGGATGACACCTGCACACTTCGGGACTACTCCATCACAACCCGTTTCTCCCCTGTTTGAGACTGTTCCATAACTATTGCATCCCTCTCACTTTTGCAGCCTCTTTCTCTTGAGGCTGCTGCTGCCATTTCTTATCCTTCTTCCCCCAATTTTTTTGCTGGTTCTTGTTCTGGGTTTCCCCCACCCCTTTGGACTGCTGCCTTTTTTTTGTTTTGTTTTTCCTTTTGTTTTCCTTCCCTATAGCTCCAGCAGTCCCTCCACATTTGGGTTTTTGGTACCTCCCTTGCCACATCTGCCACCCCTGAGGGAAGGATGGTGCCCGGCAGCTGGGGAAGCACGTTCCTTCCTCCTGCCTCCTCTCGGTGGGAGTTTGGCGGGAGGGGAGGGTCTGTGCCTTGCTTGGGATTAAGAGCAAAATTGTCATTTTCTTGCTGCCTCTGCTGCCCAGCCGGGGAACTAAAATGATGTTTTTCTGTCTCAGCCACAGAGCAACAACAAAACCAGTATAGTAAGCACTGCAAAAGAAACATCCCCAGTGCAGACGTCCATGGTATCTCCCCAACCACTATTTTTTTTTTCCTGTTCGGTTTAATTTTGATTTTGTCCCCTCTCTACCCCCACCCCGAGTGCTGCTTGTGCTGCTCTGTTTCCGCTTGTGTTTTGGCTTCGTTCTGTGCGTATCCCTGTGCTGTGGGGCCTCGTCACAGCCTCACCGGCTGGGGGCTGCACGGAGCAGTGGTTGGAGCGCAGCTTGCCTGGACTTCCCCTTGTGCCCTCCCTGTCTAGTTCTGTGTGTCCTGGTCAACTGTGCCTGCTGGCTGGGGGGAGGCTGGTTTGGAAGAGGAGAGTGGGCAACTCCATCCCCCTCCCACACCTGGGAAATGGAGGATGGACTTCAGGACAGCCCAGGAGAAAGGGCGGGCGACGAGTTTTCCGAGGAACGCCTTGGCGGCCCGCGCGGGTGCCGCCCCGCAGCTCGCTGACGGGCTGTGCGCAGCGGGGTCGGCAGGGCGCCCTGCACGAGCATGTCGAATGCCACGGCGCAGTGCGGCCCTCTCTGTGCGCCAGGGGGAGCGGGCAGCGCTGAAACGGGTGCTGGGGACACGCGTGAGTGTTGGTCACTGCACCGCCACGGTCACTGGTGCCTCG